TTTAGAAAAAAAAAAAAAAAAAAAAAGAATAGAAAGGCAGTAACAGAGTAAGAATATAAAGAGCTAGAGAAGACAAAGATATTTCTCTCATTTTAAAAAAGAAGTCATTCATAGATGCACACAAGGAGAGAATTACAAGAATACTCACTGTAACACTGTAATAGAAACACTGGAAATAATAGAACAGCTAATACAAATGCTTACACAATAGAATAAAAGAGATGAACTAGATCTATATACCCACTTGGCTGAGTCTCAAAACAATGCTGAATTTAAAAATAAAAGCAAGTGCAGAATAATACGTTAGCATTTGTATAACATTTTTAAGCACACAAAACACAACCATATATATCATTATAACAGATACACCGATAAACATATACAAATTAAATGGAAGTTACCCCAGAAAACTCTTAATAGTGGTTGTCTCTGGTTGAGGTTGCATGAAAAGAAGGGAATGGAGTAAGGATGATGTTTAAAAAGAAATTTATAACTGGTATTTTTTTTCTTTAAAAAATATGGAAGCTAAAACTGTAGTAACAGGTGTTGAATCTGGGAGGTGGGAATATAGTTGTTTTTGTTCTTTGTGCTTTTCAGTAACTTGTAAAAAACAGGTGTAACTTTTTTTCATTCAGAATGACCCATGAACAACTTATATAACATAGGCAACCCCTCTTTGGTTTAGTGGCAAGATTCACATGGACCCATCATCTTTGGAACGGTGTCTATCAACCTGAATAAGGGCTGCATAAGTACCTAGTTACCATGGGAACATTCACCTGTGTATTTTGGTTATTTCTTCAATACTTATAATACAGTATTAAATATCATGGAGGGAAAAACACTTAAAGCAGTGATTTTCAACCTTTTTCATCTCATGGCACACATAAACTAATTACTAAACTTCTGTAGCACACCAGAAAATGTTATTTTTTTTGTCAATTTGACAAAAATAATAGGTATAATTTTGATTCATTCACACCAGACAGCTATTGTTGAAGGTCAGTGCCCTTGACAAAATAGTCAAGTACTGCATATTTTAAAACTTCTTGCGGCACATAGGTTGAAAATCACTAAGTTAAAGAATAATTTAAAAAAGAATACTTTGTAAGGCACTTTCTGGAAAACAGACTGAAATCTGACTCAGGTTAGTCGTGTATTTCGTATCAGCAAATATTCAAGTTACAAAAGAAAGAGCAGTAACTACAATGTCATTTTAATGACTTACTACAATGTAACTGCTAATATTTCAACAGATGAAATGAGAACTATTTCAGTATCATTCTATGAAGAGCAGAAGATTTAAGTTGATGTTACCTTAACAAGTTCAGGCAGGTAGCTATCTAAACCGGAACCAGAACCTTCCAATTTGCTTGGTTCATCATCTAAAATGGCAAAACAGATTACCCGAGTCACTTGTAGTTGAACATATATTTTTTTAAAAACAGGAGGAGGGCCATTTCTCTTATGTGCCCTCGAACGCAGTGGGTTTCAACTCTGATACCCATTAGAAACACCTTGGAGCTTTAAAAACAACTCTGATGCCCAGGCCCAGTGGTGAGAGGTCAACATGTGGTAGCTGGTACAGCATGGACACTGTCTGATTAGCATGGATACTAGCCGTGAACACCAGCCCAAAGAGCCGCACCCATCAGAAGCACTAAAAGTCACCACCCCAGGCCAGCTAAGTCAGAATCTTTGGTGGGACAAAGGAAATAATATTTTTTAAAAGTTCCTAGGCATTTCTAAGACACAAACAGAGTTGAGAATTACCTGTCTAAAGAAGCAAAAAACAAACAAACATGAATTATCAAGAAAATAGCAAGATTTTTCCTACCAATTTAATAGGAGGTTTCTGCCCATCCTAACTTTGTCTTGGAAATTCCAAACGACATGATTAATGATAACAATAACAACTACAATTAGTATTTTAAGCGCTGACTCTATGTTAGGTACTAGAAATACATTATTTTTTTTAATCTTCCCATTGACCAGCAAATTCTTTTTCCCCTCATTTTATAGGTGCATAAACCAACACTCAGAATATATAAGTAGCTTGCCTAAGGTCTCACAGCTGAAAATGGTATATTTATTGCTGGGATTCAAACTCAGGTCTTCCTTTCTGCCTCGAAAGCTGCGGGTCTTCCAATTACATGATTTCCTTATAAAAATGATGTCAGGGGAGTAAATAGTAATGTGACAAAATCTTTTTATGACAGGCTATCTGTAAAAAGCTCACATCTGGCTGGACCGGCGTGGCTCAGTGGTTGAACATTGACCAATGATCCAGGAGATCGCGGTTTGATTCCCGGTCAGGGCACATGCCCGAGTTGCGGGCTCAATCCCTGGTGGGGGGCGTGCAAGAGGCAGCTGATCAATGACTCTCTCATCATTGATGCTTCTATCTCTCTTTCCCTCTCCTTTCCTCTCTCTGAAATCAATAAAGATATATTTTTAAAAAGCTCACATCTGTCTCACCTCTCATGTGGGTATGCAATTTATATGTCTACTTTCTATACCCTCTGGCAAAAATAAAGGACACCTGCAGAGTGTGCCTGAACCTGGGGAAACCTAGACCCACCTACCTTCATGAGAGTCTCCGTTTCGCTTTTCTTGCATCGCAGCTTCAAAGTTGAGCTGGAGAATCTTGTTTAGAATTGTGATCCATTCTTCCATTTCCACCTCACTGTCTGCTGCCAAAAGATAACTACTTTTGTCCTGCATCTTGAGCTCAAAAGCAAAGCGCCTGACTTTGTTGTTCTGAAATGGAAAAAAAGGGTAACAACATATATTTTAAAAGAATTGGAATGGCCTTAAAAGTTCCTCTTTATTATTTGCTGATGGGTACTATCACATTGGCATTTCAGAACAAGTTCCCCCCCCATAAAACTCATCATTCTCCACCTTCCCTGCTTTGTTTTCTCCGTAGCTTTGTTTTCCATCAGACACATTCCACACTTTACATATTAATTTTATTTGCCGTCTGTCTATCCCCTCCAATGGAATGGAAGCTCCTCAGGACAGAGATTTCTTTTGTTCAATGCTACATCCCCATTTCTAGAATACTGCCTGACAAATAACAGGCTCTTGAAAGATATTTGGAATGAAATTTCATTGAAAATTTTCAATTCTCCTAGCTCCTATTTTTTTTAATGACCTAGTGTATGGTATTACATTTTTAAAAGCAAACCATTATTTATCAACATGCTTGACTTCCTTATCTGGAACTTCCTCATCACTGATGAGTCCCAAAAGGTACTAGGACACTGTGTCTACCTTCCCCTTCCCTCATGCCTGTGGTTTTTATGCCTGTGAAAGGGTATCTGACTCAAAGTATAAAAACAGTAGTCCACGTGCATTAAATGGTGAAGAGTGAATGTGCCCAAGACCAGGGTTTCTCGAACTCTGCCCTACTGATGTTTGGGACTGATAATTCTGGTATGGGGGCATCCTGTGCACTGTAGGTGGTTTGGCAGCGTCCCTGGCCTTACCCATTAGATGCCAGTAGCATTCCCCTCCAGTTGTGAAGATCAAAACATGTCTCTAGATATTATTAAACACACCCTGGTGGGTAAAATCACCCCCTGTGATTGCATTAGATAGAGGTTAAGCTCCAAGGGCCATGGCACAAGATTCCTTGCAGATACAGGCTGAGGGACATGATGTCACAAACTCCTGCCAACCTGTGTAGGGCAGAGCAGACCCCTCACCTACTAAAATTCTAGCTGTTTAGCTGTAGTCCCTGTGGGGTTCCTCAATGCAGGTCTCAGGGACAGGGCCACCCTCCCTAAGGCGTCTGTGTAGTTCTCAGAAACATGAAGGAGATTGCCTCTTCGGGCAAAGCCACACAAACTACTGTGTACAGACTGCCCGCTGTGGGCGCCCTAATTGCTGCCCTGGATCTCACTTAAACTTCACTTCAAGGCAAGAATCAGAGTCAAAGTCTGGAAGTGAAATGAGGTTTCTTTCCCCCACATTCCTCACATACTCACGGTTATGAAAGTAAAAAGTTAAAAGGTGGCGGGGGGGAGAACATTAGGCCTTGATTTTGAATTACTTCCATTTCCTTATCTACAAAATAAATATAATCACTCCAAGCTTCTAAAATCCTTTTACAGCTTAACATTCTAACCTGGATTCCATTCAGGCCTATTTTAAAATTTTACTTTAAGCACTTCTTTGAACTCACAGCATTAATCAACTAACTTAGTAATAATGTCCAATAGCAATATATATTTTTAAAACTCCCAAAACGCTTAAACTACAACTTTTGGAACTTAGCTTATAACAAACGTGGATGAAAAGAAATGCTTTTAAATTTTTGAAGCCTTAGATACAATTTATTAAACGAAAAACACCATCAGCCACATCTGCTGAAGTCAGAACCTTAGATTCTGAAACGCACTCGAGATTGAGTGGTAGCTCAGCTGCTGTACTTGTAAGTCATCTATACACTGTGAAGACGGGCAACAAAACTCTAATAAAACAAAATAATTACTTCCTACTTTCCAAATGCCAGAAAATCAACTAAAAAGCAACTTTGTCTCTCAACTTAAAAATATCAGTCAAACTCCTGCTTGGGAATCCCACACAAGAAGTTAATTTGCCTTCATCGNAAAAGTCTCTCAACTTAAAAATATCAATCAAACTCCTGCTTGGGAATCCCACACAAGAAGTTAATTTGCCTTCATCGACAATTCTCTCTGGTACCCTTACTATACACCGTGAATAAAAAGTTTGATATAATTTGGTTTCTAGTAGCAGCTTTCAGGTGAGGTTGGGTTACCGGCAGGAGACATCCACATGCCAATTAGCTGTTGACACATCATAATTTCTAGTGAACATTAAGTGATTCTGTAACTCCTGTTCCAGGGCTCAAATACACTTTCATGTATTACATCCCCCACCTCCCCACTTTTTTGGCCCTGCAGTGTTTTTGTTTTTAAAATTAGTTAGCATTAAGAACTTCAAGATTTAACTAAAATTTTGTATTTATGCCTTTCTTGAAAAACCTGATGGTCTGACAACCCTGAGCTGGTATTTATTTCCACCCAGCAGCATCAGCCCTCTTTAAATGGGATCACCTGCATCCAGTTTGTCACGGTCCCAAGGATTCCCTATTGCTTTACACCAAGGCCTCTTCTTTCACTTGATTACCTGCTTAGCCCCTGAAAAGATCTGAGTTTGGACCGCCAATTTCTACTGCTGGCCATGATGAAGTAACAGCATATGGACTTGCTCTCCCATCATAACTACTAGAAAACTGGACAGAAGAGATGAAACAACTGCCTTCAGATAGTTGACAACAGGGAGAGCAGGCCTGGGATCCTTGATAGAAGGGAAATAAATGAAGTGAGCCCTACCACCACCTCAGCTTTCTGCCTGGAGCGCGGCGCAGGAAGGGAGACCCAGAGTCCCACGGTCTCCCTGAGTTGAAGAGACTGACTGGGGGTCAGGAAGACCCAGGTGGCTAGAACGTGCACGACAGTTTTCAGAGTGAGAACAGAGCTCTCAGCACAAAGAACAGAAGAGATCCAAACTTAGTAAAAGTTTGGCCTCACATTCATTATATGTATAGTTTCTATTTGTATGTTATGCCTTAACAAAAAGCTTACCAAAAAAATCAAAACAAGACACAATAACCTAAATTTCAGGTCACCAGAGATAAAGAGAAGATCACTAAGAACAGGGAATAAGAATAACACCCGACTCCAAAACAGCACAAGCACCTAGAAGGTGATGAAACGCCTTCAAATTCTAAAGTAAATTTTACCTTGGATTTCTACACCCAGCCAAACTATTAGTCAAGTATAAATGCAAAAATAAAGCTATTTGCAGATATGCTACCCCTCAACAAATTACCATCTTGCACATGATTTCCCAGGAAGCTGCTGGAGGATGCACTCCTCCAAAACAAGACAGTCCAACGACATAAGACAGGACGGGATCCTCAAAACACGGAATCCAACACGGGGAAGAAGGTGAAGGGAATTTTCAAGGATGGTGGCTGTGCAGAGGCTAAGGAAATAATTACTTTTAATGCCTGAATGACATGGGTTTGAACTGCATGAGTCCACTTACATGTGGATTTTTTCAATAAACATATTGGAAAATTTTTTTGATATTGGGGACAATTGGAAAAAACTTGAACATGGACTGCTCAGCCTAGAAATATGGATAATTAAGAAAAAGTTAGGTATGTCATAAATGAATAAAAATATGTAGATATTAGTCTATTTTATCATTTACTACCATAAAATATTCATGAATTATAAAAAGTTAAAATGTATAAAAGCTTCTGCACACACTAAAGAGACATACATGGCACCATTTGCAGTGGAGAAAAATGTAAACACACATAAGAAGGCAGCGTATGTGTGTAACATACAAAATGTGTGTTAATCGACTGTTTATGTTACAGGAAAGGCTTCTGGTCAACAGCAGGCTGTTGGCAGTTAAGTTTTGGAGGATTCAAAAGTTAAACATGGATTATGGATTCTGGGGGCAGTTGGCATCCCTCAGCCCCATGTTGTTCAAGGGTCAACTGTAGTCCAGATTAGAGCAGAAAGGAGGGTGGCAGGAGCTAAAATTCTGTCACCGGCACATAATATCCACAACTGATGAATGAAGAGCACAGACACTTCTTATCTAGCAATATGAAGACAAATCCCAGAAAAAATAAAGAAAAGAGTTGAAAATGACCACCTTAGGAGAGTGGGGAATAGGTGAGGTGGGGGGTGATTCAGGCAGGAATGTGTCTTTCGTGTTACCTTTCTGCACTGTTTTGACTTTTTAAATCAAAGGAACAATTACATAGGTGAAAATGCAATTTAATTTTAAGTAAACATGAATACATAAACAAGCACACCTGAGGGTCAAACCAGAGAGTTATGTGTCTAACCTTAACCACGCTGGCCCCACAAAACAACTTTTCTTGTTGAATCCAGCTTTGGACTGATGTCATTAGCCAACATTGAGTCACTTTAAGGGAGAATTCTCTGATAATGGTGACTGTATCTATTGTGAGGAGTTGTCAAGGAGACTGTTCATTAATCACACAGTGTCCTCTGTATGGGGTCCCCCAAGAGAAATGCCTGAATATTTTCATTCTGAGATGCTCGGGCAGCTTCTGACTAATTAGATTGTATCTCTGTATGCTGTGTGACTGAATGGGTCTCCCAGCTAGAAAGTGTAGGGCCCCAAAGCTTGTATTAGGTCTTTATGACACAGACTTTCTCCTCACCTTATTCCACTTATCTCCTCCCAATCCTGACTCCTTGTTTACCTTTCTGCTTTCAGACCCACCTTAAATGTATGGAATCCTGTGTTTTATGTATCCTTGTAAATTGCAGCCTTAGATCTTCCTGAAAAATGGCAGGGGAATGGGTGGATGGCTGGATGGATGGATAGATGGGAAAACTGGCAACTGGCTTTCAAAGACAAATTCTATAAAGGTATGAAAGGAGAGCACCAAACTGGTAAAAGCAGCTCTTTGGGAAAGGGAGCCATTGGGGTCAACAGGGACTTCCACATTATTTGTATTGTCTGATATTTATAATATGTATATATTCATGTATTATATATAATGAAAAATATTTTTTTCTTAATTTATCTTTAATGTTGAAACAGCACTATGATAAAAATATCTAATACTGGCTGAAAGCTTACCATGTGCCAGCACTGTCCTAAGCTCTTACATCTATTAATTAATCCTCTCAGAAGCCATATTTGGTACTATTTAACAAGTGAGAAAACTGAGGCACAGAGAGGTTAAGTAATATCTCCAAGCTTACACAGTGGGTAAATGGTAGAGCAGTTTGGATCTGAAACCTAATCTCTTGACCAATATATTACTCTGCCATTGGTATTATGATGGCAGTGATAAAAGTCATCACTGAAATGCTAAGAACTGTTCTAAATATTTCCAAGTTAGCTCATCCAACCCTCCCATTTACCCTATTCAGGAAACATTATCATTACCTGAATTTTGCAAATGAAGAAACTTCAGGTAATAGCCATCCAAGGTGACCTAAAAATTGGCTGAGCCAGGTTTTAAATACAAGAACTCATGCACAAGAGCACTTGTGGCTACTACAATGAAATTCTGCCTCTATGTTATGCCTATCATCTTCTAAAATGATGAAAAACAAGGCTTTTCTCATTTAAAGTCAACTGTTATATTTCTAGCACAAAATTGCCATTTTTGGAAGTGTTTGCTTAAATCTGCTAACTCACAGATAGTACTTTTACAAATAAGAAAAAGTAATAAAATTCTTTCCATATTTACCTGAACCACACCCATACAGGAATCCAGAAATATAGATCCTTTCGGTTCTTTGGAGATCTTTTCATCTTTATAAAAACTCAAATTGTAGGATCCATCACCAAGTTGAATCAGGTGGAAAAACCGTCTTTTAAATGACTGAGAGAAAAACACACACAGACAGCTATTGTTTCAAAACGAAAAGAGTCACAAGCTCTACCAATAACTCACAATTTGACACATATGTGAAAACCAGTTCAGTTCTCTCCAAACCAAATCTAATTCTGGCCAATGCTCCGGGTAACTGGGTGTTAAGACTCTCCTTCAGTCACTGCATTTCAATTCTTTTTTTTTATTTTAACAGATAACCTGGGTTCAAATCCTGATTTTGCTATTTTTTAATAGGTTTAATCTTTATTGTTGAAAGTATTACAGATGTCTCCCTTTTTCCCCCCCCATTGTCCCCCTTTCCTCCCCCGCTG